GATTACAGCTGAATAAGCACTACTATATTTGATATAATATTATATATTATACATCTTTTTCTTACCTCACTTTATCCCAACAACTTTTAGTCACGGGTACTGTTATTAACATTCTCTCTGTTAGACGGAGAAATTGAGCCTGAGAAGTTGAGTGGCTTGCTCTTTGGCCTCTACACTGTGGGATGGTTTACTGAACCTCCATCTTCTGTTTGGAGATGTTGGAAAACTACAAGTTACATTTCCTGCACTCCTTTGCAGGGTGAGTTGAATGCAAGTGAAAGATTGTAAGGCAGAACTGAGGTAGAGACCATCTTTCTGCCTTTCTGTCTGTTTCTGCTGGACAGCATAGCTGTAACATGAGATGGTTCTACCAGCTTCTGGGTGTTGAGAAACAAGTTGAGAGATAGTAGCATCAGCAGCCCTTCATGACCTGACATCTTAAGCCCTGGATCACAGCTATCGTGTCCATTCTTTACTATTTTATTTTATTTTTTTAATCCTCACCTGAGAATATGTTTACTGATTTTAGAAAGAGAGAAAGGGAGAAAGGGAAACATAGATTGGTTGCCTCCAGTATGTGCCCTGACCAGGGATGGAACCCACAGCCTTTTGGTATATGGGACAATGTTCCAACCAACTGAGTCACTGGGCTGGGGCGATGGTGTCCATTCTTCAGCTTCTTGGGCAGAAGGGGTGCTTGACTCAAAGAAAGAGAAGCAGCTGCATCGAGGGCTTGATTCCACATGGACCTCAGAAGTATCAGCTCCTGGAACCTTCTATAATAGGTCAGTTCCATATGGATCTGAGAATCAAAACTGGAGGCCAGTCTAAAAAATACTTCATCTCTTCCAACAATGAATGAGGTAAGCCCCTAATTCCCTATATTAAATTCCTCTTTATTTAAAATATTTAAAGTGGCTTCTATTTCTTCTCTGAGCCTGATGGTTAAGCCTTTAGATCAAATCATGTAAGCTCCATCCTCCTTCTAGTGCCATTCAATTCAATAATTTCCTGAACATATTTAGCATACAAGACACTAGATTAGATCCACAGCTACAGATGCAAATATACAATAGTGCATGATAAGAATATTCTCTCGAGATCAATCCCAGTTACATAATTTGGGGAGCCCTGGCCCGTTTCAAGTCCCTCATAATTCAGAACTCCAGAGGTTGGTTCACATGTGCCTCCAAATGCCATCTCCTGTTATCCATTGGCAGCTTTCTCCTTCCCATGACCAGTTGTAACTATATGCCAGCAACCTTGCCATTCCCAACACAGGTTTAAAATGGATAAAGTACCAGGGTGGACCTGGCACCTCAACCCCCATCCACAAGAAGTGGTTTCTCCTTCATGTGGAGGAGGAAATACCCCTCCAGGGAGGAGGAAATACCCCTCACCGCCAGTTGTACCTGAACGGCAGAGTTCAAAAGCAGCTCTGCATCATGGAGCCACCTGCCAGCTGGTAACTGCTAGATTTTAAGGTATTTATTTGACCACTCTGAGTCTTAGTACCCTCAGCAGTAAAACAAACAAAAACATGTTTTTCGGTGATGTTTTTGAGGAATAAATGAAGTAATATATGTGAAATGTTTGGCAAATTGAATATACTTAAATATTTATAACTAACATTTAAATGCTTCTTCTGTGTCAATTTATATGCTAGACATTCGCATACATTTAATGCTGATTAAAACTACAAGATAGTCCCATTTTATGAGGGAGGAAAACTCATTACTACTACCACTACCTCTACTGTAACTTTCATCATTGTCCTGTAGATAAGCTCATGTTTCTCAGATATTCAAATAATACAGCTTTCTGCTTTGTTACAACTTTCCTCAGACCTTCCTGGAAAAATGTAGGAGGTCAACCTTGAGCAGTGCTGAGTCAGGAACAATGTGAGTAACATAGCCCTTGACATATTATAATAGTCTCCCATTGCCATGTCCTCGGACTAAACTTGGAAATCTTCATCCTCTTTTTCCAAGAGTACAAGAACCATCCCAAGAGTTTTCCCAGCCTCTCATGCTCATATACACCCCCCACCATGAGTCATGGCATATTCATCTAGATATGCCAGACATTTCTGAATTCACAGAAGGCATATAAATTGGGCCATAACTTTCTAATACCCAACACCACCAACACCTCTACTTTACATAGCCGAATTGCTTTCAGGGAGCCTATTAACATTGTCATAAAGGTAAGAAAAGTAAATGCTAATTTTAAAAAACTGATTATATAAAGGGATGGTATGGCTTGTTCTTTTGGTTTTGTTTTTTACGATTTTATTTGTTTATTTTTAGAGAGAAGGGAACGGAGGAAGAAAGAGAGGGAGAGAAACATTGATGTGTGGTTGCCTCTAGAGCACCCCCTACTGGGGACCTGAACCCACAACCCAGGCATGTGCCCTGAGTGGAAATTGCACTGGTGACCGTTTGGTTCACAGTCTGCCGCTCAGTCCACTGAGCCACACCAGCCAGGGCTGGTATGGCTTGTTGGGGGGGGGGGGGGCGGGGCGGAAGGAGTAGTGAGAAATAGTCTCTAGAGTTGGGAAAACTCCAGTGCACACCTTTATTCTCTGCAGTCTAATGCTAGGACCATGGACAGGTTATGGAGGCTTGCCATGTCTCAACTGCCTTGCCTGAAAATTTAGGTATCTATGAGGACCCAATGAAGTGGCTGTGTGGGTACTAGGCATATAGTGAGCACTGAAAAATAAAAAGAAGTTCTTGTTATTTTTACTTAAGCTAGTTAGCCACTTTTAAATCTGTGGTCCCGAAAGCTAGAAAATGTTCATTATTATACTGCGGTAAATTAACATTCATAAGCCAAATCTCTGTGATTTTTCTCATTACATATGTTATTGCATCCTCAAAAGATATGGTATACAGTGCAGTGATGAGTAACTTGTCTAACAGTTAATATCAAAATGTACTGCACAATGAACAACACAAAATATTGACATGAGTTTATCATTGGTCAATATTTATGCTTCAAATAAGCTAATTTAGATATCGAATGTAGCTTAAATCAATTACACTTTGTTATTCTTTCCTCTGATAATACTATGTTTCAGATGAATAAATTTCTTTTCAATGTAATCACTCTTATTTGCAGTTACATTTTGATATGTTTGTTCAGTCATATGGATTTTAATGACCAATTCCAAACTTAGTTACTATAATTAACCCACTAGAATTTTAAATTTTTATGTTTTTCTTTCTTTGTACAGACATGTGAGGGAGATAAGCTATTAATGATTTCTGCCTGTGAAGTTCAGGATTAAATGTCATAAGAGTAGAGAAGATGGCAGTTAAAAGGGAAATTGCCTCTACCACAGTCTTGCCCACCTGCTTTTGATTAAAATGCACAGTTTCTCTGCTGTACATCTCAGTGACCCAGGCCTGAGACTGAAATTCTATGTCAAATACCAAGGCCTTGAGATAAAATCAATAGCTAGGAAATTCAATGAGTAGAATTTGATAAATATGAGAGTGAAAAAATATATTTTCCCATTGAAGAGCTTGTTTTCTATCGTGGCTTGGAGAGTCCATTTAACCTTCTTGGTTTCTTATCACCCAGACTCAAGACCCCTTGTCAAAGAATCTGTCCTTTCTTCCTCATCCTTGACTCAATCAGCCAAGAAATTCTATTGCTTCTTCCTTTACCAAACTTCTGTCTGCCTAATTATTTCTATACTTGTTATCTAAAGTCAAGTCCTTGGTACTTTATATCTGGATTATTGCAACAGCCTCTCATTGGTCTCCTTACCTCCAATTTCTTCCCTATCCAATTCTTTAAACACATCATCACCAAATTATCCTACATAAAATATCACTTTGAACACATCATATTCTTGATCAAAAATCAACAATGATTCTTCAGAGATTGCATATATAATAGATGCATGAATAAATATATATACACAGACATATATACAGATTCCTAAGAAAGTTCTAGAAATATCCCACTCACTTTTACCTTAAACATTGTACACCTGCTATGTTTTATAAATCCTTTGCTTGTTTTATTTTCAAATGGATCTGTGTTAAAAATAAAAACAAATAAGAAAGTACACCCTTAGTATTAGTATACTCACAAAGAAAGACCCAAAACTAACAAATTTTACCATTTTTTTAAAATAACAACAATCATTAATATTTTCCAGATCACAAGAAAAGAAAATACTTCCCAACTCATATTTTGAATTTAAAAGAACCATAACACTAAAACCTTACAAGTTTTACAAGAAGGCAAGTTAGAAGCCATTCCCTCTGAACAACAATAATATTAAAAATTCCTAAATAAAATATTAGCAAAATGAATCTAGCAATAAATAAAATGATAATACATTATGGTCAAGTTGGATTTATTCCAAGAATGAAAATTTGAGTTTTACATTAGGCGATTAATCAATGTAATTCAACACATTAACAGAATATAGGAGAAAAATTATGTGATTATCTTCACAGCTGCAGAGAAAGCATTTGACAAATTTAATATCTGTTCACAATAAAAGTTCTTCTCAAATTAGCAATACAAGAGAATATCTGTAATTTAATAAAGAGTAGCTACAAAAGACTGACAGTAAATATCATATTTAATGGTGACACAGAAAGCTGATACAAAAATGAGACCAAGCTGACTGCTATTACCACTTCTATTTAGCATTGTAGGGAGATTTTAGCAAGGCATAGAGGCAGGGAGAAAGAAGCATTAAAAACTAAAAAGGAAGATACCTAACTGTCATCTTATTTACAGACAACATGATTGTATATATAGAAAATTGAAAAGAATCTTCAGATTAAATAATTAAGTTAATAAAGGAATTTACCAAGGTCACTAGAAACTGAATCGATATGCAAAAATTAATTTATATCTACATACACAAAAAATGAACATACAATACAATTTTTAATAATATTATTTAAAATACTGTCACATACCCATGAATAGATATAAAATAAATGTAATATGTATAAAAATAACTATATATACCTAGCTGGCAGGAGAGATACCATGATTTTAAAGGCGGGTTTCCGGGGCGAGGCTTATTCATTCCGCTCCAGATGTGCTGACCCCTGCGATTTCCTCAAATGTGGGAAACTTGACTGCAGAATTTGTGATCATGGGGAACAAATGTGGTTCCCTATGTTGCTCTCCCTTGGTCTGTAAAAAAATTAAATAAGTAAGTAAATAAATAAAACTATAAAACATTGTTAGGAAAATTGTAGAAGACCTAAATAAATAGAGGGATATATCATGTTTATGGACTGGAATACTCAATACTGTAATAATGTCAGTTCCCAAATTCATATATAGTTTCAACATGATACAAATCAAAATTTCATCAGATTTGTTTTAGAAATTCATGAGCTGATTCTAATATTTATCTGGAAATGACAAAGGCAAGAAATACCCAAAGCAATATTCTTTTTTGAAGAAGAAAGTTATAAAGTTATATTCCAGATATCAAGACTTATAAAACTAAAATAATTAAGACAGTGTGAAACTGTGTAAAATAATAAGTATGTAGAACAGAGTAGAGAAAGCAAAACACATTACCATATATACATTTATCAAAAATGTAGTAATGTATATCAGTGGAGAAATGATTGATGTTTTAATAAATGTTCATCCCTAGAAGGAAATTTGTATCTTGACCCCTTACCTCAAACTGTACCATTCCATATTTTTATAGATCTAAATTCAAAAGGTGAATAGTTAATCTGGAGAGCAATAATATTTTTATGACCATTGTTTAGAAATATACTTTTGAAATCCCTCAGGAAAACAAACACTAGCCATATAAGAAAAGATTAATAACTTGGTCTCCACTGTAATTAAGAACTTGTGTTAAGTAAGATATACTATATAGAGAGACAAAAATAAAAAGTTTATTTCAGTTCTCATAAAACTTAGGGGAAGATACTGTACTTAACAGTAAAGTGCTGAAAATCTTTTAGTAAAAGAAAAGGGTTTACGTATTTGGTCCTTCTAGTTTGCTAAATGGTATAAAACCTGTTTGTTAAAAACCACAGTGTACACAGTGCTGTTGAGCAAACCCAATGGGCCATATGTCCAGGTTGTCTGCAGTTGGCTGAGCTCCTTCATACACATGCAAAATAGAGTTACCCTCCTTGACCTTTCCAGAGCTCCCCATCTTCACCTAAGCCTTTTTGGTGATGCTGATAAGTGAGAAAATCTGGTCCTTAATTCACCTTGTAGGAAGTTGGATAATATACAATAAATTAATATGAGTACATGGCTATTGATTCTACTGAGGGAAAGAACCTACTATATTTATGATGTCTAATGTCCTGGTTTCTACATGGTATTTTTTTAAAGATTTATTTGTTTGTTTGTTTGTTTGTTTGTTTGTTTAGTTTTAGAGAGGAGGAAGGGAGAAAGAGAGGGAGAGAAACTTCAATGTTTAGTTTCCTCTCATGCACCTCTTACTGGAGACCTGGCCCGCACCCCAGGCATGTGCCAAAGACTGGGAATCCAACCTGCAACCCTTTGGTTCACAGGGTGACACTAAATCCACTGAGCCACACCATGAGCCAGGGCCACATGTTGTATTTTAAATAGACCTGAATTATTTTGCTGAGCTAAGCTACAAGGAGTTGAACAGGTTAAGCAATTTATGCAGTCAAAACTTTAAATGTTAAGTGAATCAGAGTGAAGATCACTACTCTCCTGGATGAAGGGAAGCAGAATCATTAAGTGCCCTGGAGCCCCTAAGATGAAAGAAAAGCTGGAGCATCAAGGATGATGACTTAGTTTCACTTGGAACAGGGATGGTCTCCTGTTGGAGTGGTTTCAGACAAAATATTGGTAAACATCCTTTGTTATGTAACTAGGGTGTTTAGAACCATGGAGTGTGTTGTCATGTTTTAAATAATACCTTTGAAGAAGAGCTAAAAATTAACAAGCAAATACTTCAATGAAAGTCATTGTAAATTTTTAATTAAGTCAAAAAAGCCCTAGCACTGGTGTCACTAGTAATTCCAATACAGCTTTAGCAGGTGGTGAGTGATGTATATTATAGGTGAGGACAACTTACTGGGACAGATTTAACATTCAACTTTTGGGTTTTGAGTGGAAAACCAGTCTGCCTGTCTCCCAAAGGCATGGTTAACAATAATAATATTCTCTCAGCTTTAAAATTTATACTTCACATAAAGAAATTAGTCCTCGCATTGCCTCTGAACACCACATCAAATTCCTAAATTTTTTTCAGAGAAAAAATCTGTATTTATAAGACAAGACCACAGCAATGACAAGTGCCGGAGCTTGGGATTAAAAATTTAAATTTCCAGTGCCTCATCTCATATCCACGTGATTTCTAATTGCTGTGACTTAAATTTATGTGTACAGATCAAGTGATCTTATGCTGTGTTTTCCTAATTCCTCTTCTATTTATTTATACAACTTTTTTCTATCTTGGTAAAGATTTAAAGTGACATGTTAGAATGTGATATCATATAGCATAAAATCTAAAATTAGAAGTTGCAAGTGAGAAAAGGGGGAAAATAAAGAGAAAAGGAAAGATAAAGTTACAATTAAATTTACTTAAATTTGCAAGGTGCAATACAGATTGTGAAGCTTTGTTTTCTTGCAATCAATGCAAAGAGAAAAATCAGTGTCCATAATATTAAACCAAACCTGATGCTCATAAGGAACACAGTAATTATGGATTCTAATACCAGAAAGAAATGACTCACCTGCATCTCACATTAAGACCATCTATGATATAAAGAACTCCCACCCCAACAACATTCTGCACATGTATACAACACATTTCACAGGGTGGATTCATGAAAGTCCCTCAGTCTAAACAAAGGGCATACACTGAAAATTTTAGGAAATGATTTATAGAAAATTTCTTTTCTTTACTTTATAAAACCACAAACTGCTGGTGTTGTCCTTTCTGTTTACTCAGAGAACATGACTTGTCAGAAAAAGACCCTGAGACTGAAGTCATCGTTTGACTGAGACTGTCAGCTGGGCTGGCCCTGAAGCGACCACCGCTTATTAGCAGTCATGTTTTTTCCTTCCCTGAGGTTGTCAGAAACAAAGGGGGTCAGCTCATGCTCACCTCTGCCAAAACTGTTTTCCCTGCCAGTCAGAGATAAGAAGTTTTAAAACTATAAATGTGGGCAGACACAGATTTGTTTTTTCTTTAAACTCAAGTCTCTTAAAAGAGAATAATATTAAGAAACAAAACAGCAGTTGAGAAACCATTTGGCCATATTTCAAAATAATATTTCACTGAGAAACCTAGATTGAAAATATCACATTAGGAAATATGAAAGTCTCATACTACTATTACATGTTCTAATAGTAATAGAAAACATCCACAAAAAAACAGAAGCCACATGAGGATCAAAGTATCAGCTTTACTTGTGGGCTAGGCAAGTGCCCAGTAGCTGTCAATATTCAGGATAGGTGGGTAAACTGAGCTGGCAAACAGGGTTTGAACCTGAGAACAACTTAGTTGAGGGTATTGGACCATTGGCTTGAAATGTGGTGACACTGAGTAAGAAGATCTGGTTCACTGCATGAGAGCTGTAAATGAAAGGTGAGGTCCCTGAGCCCACCAGCAGCCATCCAAAACAACAAGAAAGAGGCAAGAGCAGTCTTAGCACATTAACACCTACAAAATGTTGTCAAGTGAACGCAAACTCTTTTAGTCAGATCCGCTACTCCCTCCTTCCCAGAGAAGAGAAAGTTCAAAGTGTAGAGGGAAAGGCAGGAACAGTTCACCTCAGTATTCCTCACTCACAGAGAGATATCAAAAGAAATTTCACCATTCATGAAAATAGGAAGGAAGGTGAATAATAGTTTCCAGCTAAGCAGGGCCAGCTTTATGGGTGTGTGAATTTTGTAATCACACAAAAACCTGTACTTGCTGTCCCCCATCTTGAAATTCTTAATAATTTTTGAAAAGGGTGCATATTTTCAGTTTGCATTAACAAATTATATAACTTGTCTTGCAGCAAAGAATAAAGACAATAATTACATTAGAGAGAGTGACAGTGACCCAAGGACAAGATTGTCTAGACATAGAGAAAACCGACACCAGGGTCAGCAATAATAGCAACAAATGAAATAGTGGTTAACATAATTTGAGGGCACAAGCATCAAAACGAGGGGTAGGGTTTAGGAAGGAAGAAGAGAGGATGCAGGGGAATGCTTTTCTCACATCTAGGCCCAGTTGTCTGAGGTTTTGGGGAGAAAAACAACCAGTGTTTAAAGGACTGCTGGGGTAGCAGTGTCCACAGGTGAGAGTGACTCATGGGGTGTGTGTGTGTTTTCACACCCAGAAAGATAGAGCAAAATAAAGGAATCCAGAAATTTTATCTAATTTTTTTAATACTCACCAGAAGATTTTTTTTTTTTTACAGAGGGAGAGGAAGGGGGCAGGTGGGGGCAGGGGGAGAGAGGAAGCAATGTGAGAGAGAAGCATTGACTGGTTGCCCCCTGGACTCACCCAGACTGGGGAGCGAACCCACAACTTAAGTATGTGCCCTGACCAGGGATGGAACCTGCAACTTTTGGTGCCTAAGATGGTGCTCCAACAAACTGAGCCACCCAACCAGGGAAGGAGTCCAAAAATTTTAAACCAGCAAATGATCATGTTGGATGAAGATGATGTAAAATGATGATTATATAATCTGTACAAAAAGCATAACTCTGAGAAGAGAGAGGCTACAGGTCTTTCTGGTCTTTAAAGATGAGGCTTTTTTAAATATCTGAGCTTGAAATGTCTAGGAGAAACACAAGGAAGCATCTAAGGGTTCATCTGAAATAAAGGACCTGATCCCCTCACTTATGGGGTGAGTTTTCCTCTGCTCTCCGCCCCAGGCTAAGCTTCTTGCTGCCTACTATAAAAGCAAATCAGAAATAAACAGAGTATATGAGAGACTAAGAATGAGAGAGAAAAAATAGTGTTTTTAATATACCAAAAATATGATATTTAATACTAAAAGGTATAAAGAAAAAAAAAGAAGTGGTTAAAAATAAAAACTAGAATTAAAAAAAAGATCAAAGGTTATAACTTTTATAAATGCTCAGCATCACTAGCCATTAGAGAGATTCAAATTAAAACCACAATGAGATATCATCTCATACTTGCCAAAATGGCTAT